TAAATCTCACTATACACCGTTGATAGAAATATACCAGCTAATCAATCAAACAATGATAAATATGATTAATTCGGTAGTTATGGTGAATGAATTTCATCTTGAAAAATGAAGCTGTTGAAGATAATACGGGCATTTTCTCAATTACCTCGTTTATTGCAGCTATACACAGAAAACTTCAGAAAGATTATCAAAGATACTATCCAGTATTGTAGTAATATACAGGAGCCCATTTAAAAAAGTTATTGAATAGTATTGGTATTTACTTGGTGCAAATATATTATAATAAAATATAAGGTAAATCAAACTTAAGTTCAATTCATCCTAAAATTCAAGAATTTTCTTATATTTTATGGAATAATTCAATTGGACTTCCTAGTTCTTACTCACAAGACTATAATTGGTACCTACTAAGCAAAGGAAGTGCTTTGAAATATGGGCAATCGAACGAAATAAAATATCACAACTATATTTGGAAAAAAAATGCGGATTATTTTTTATTTTGTTCATTACTTAAAACGAATATATAGTCTTGTTTAGCTTCTGGTATGTTATTATATTGGAAAAACATTTATAATTTTCATTTTGAAATTCCAAATAGCTGCTTTTTCATTATATTTATATTCACACATTTTCTAGATTGAAATTTTTACAAGACTGGATTGACAATGGCCCATCTAACGTGTTCTGGATTTCTGGGTTTTATTTCACTCAGTCATTTCTCACTGGAGTACTACAAAATTTTTCAAGGAAAAGAAAATTGCCAATCGACTGGATCCATTTCGAATTTTACACCACTGAATATGAAAGTGACACTAGTGACGTTTTAGATATTGGAGTGTATACGAAGGTAACTTCATTTACATACACATCTATTGATCCTATATACATTCAGATGAATTTATTTTATATAAAAAAATCCTTCCAAGCAGCACATTCTTGAAATCGAGGAATTTAGTGTTTTGATTCATGTAAGTGGAAACATAAAGTTCATCATCTTCAGCCTGATAGTTTTGAGATTCGTATTTTATTTGATTGATTGGAATGCTTTATATGATTAATTTTGTTTCGAATGCATATAATTAAGAAACAAAATTTGTAGATCTTTGTATGCCATTAGACAATATTACGTTCGAGCTTATTTTTCATTCTGAAGTTAGAATTTAATATAATTTTTGGTTTTTTTGTAGGAGATTTTGTAAAACGCATGTCATAAAGGTACTAGGTGCATGTGTAATTTTGAACAATAAATGAAGTGTGTGGCACTCGAGGACAGCCATTTTTTATCATCTTATGCAATTATAATTATTTATTTATTTTTTCATTTGTGCAGTATTTTTTTCTTTGATATTAATTCCAGATACACTTTTTGAGCGAGGTGACCGAAAAGAAAACAAATTTTTGTCTTTTATTGAATAAATGAGAAGTTAATATCGTTTAAAATATTTTTATTATCTTACAATGCATGTAGGTTATTCAGGAATTTTTATCATTGAAACTATAGGTTTGTGGTAACTTAAATAAGAAACTAAGTTTGAGACTTGATATCGTCTAAATATCTGGAAAATACCGCGTCAATGGTGGTTCCATATTTTATTGTAGATTCTTGTAGATCATTATTCATTTTCAAATTCAATTTTTCGGAAAGAAAAGTTGTCAACCGCTCTGATTTTTTATCAGCGAAGTTGATGTTAAAATCGCCAGCCAAGATAAGTGAAAATTTATAACAATTTGTACCAAGTATTTTCGACCCTTCATAAGTGTACTACAGTGATTCAGATTCAGAAAAATGTAAATTGCTACCATGACTATGTGTAGCTCATTTCTAAGTTTGCATAAGCACGTACAAATATCTCCAACAAATGAGCGCCTGTACAGTCGTACTATATACATACACGTTAAGCGAACGATCGACCTAGCTACATGGTAGACTGAGTGTAGGTGTTAGGTTTTATTTTCGTTACGGAATTTCTTGATTCGGTCGCCGCGCTCAAAGCCCGCGAAAAAAGCTATGCAATATGCAATAGCTTCAAAATATTTCACAATTCAGATCAAATTTGGCCCATAAAGAGAATAACATCGAACATCTGATATCGAAAAAATATCAGTTTCAGACTTGAGATTGTAAAATTGAATTTCCTGAATTGAAATTTGAAGTTTTTTGGGCGAAAAAATTACTAGCACGTAGGATGGCTTTCTTGAACCCAACTGTTATCTGAATTAGGATAATATTCGTTGAGCATATTGATACCTCAATATACTCCCAACATTAACAAGTGTTAAGCAAATTCTCATGACAGATTGAAATTTTTTAGGGATTATTCCTGGAAGGTGCTCGATGGGATAGAGAAATGAAGATGTTAAACGAATCGTACCCGAAAATTCTCTTCGATACAGTTCCTATTATGTGGCTAAAACCTGCAGTTATATCCGAATATATCCCAACGCCACATTATGATTGTCCTGTATACAAGACCACGGCAAGAAGGGGAGTTTTATCTACAACCGGTCATTCAACTAATTTCGTCATGTTCACAACTTTTGCATCGAATAAACCCCAAAATCATTGGATAAATCGGGGAGTCGCTTGTATCTGCCAACTTAACGATTAGGTTTTAAATCCATGTGAGATAAACACTTATTTTAAAATATTGTATTTTGATCTTTGTAAAAAAAAATTTATTATAAACCGATAAAAGTTTTTGATTTAGAAGGACGAAAATAAAGCATTACGCCTCATGTCAAAGTTTAGTGTTTTCAAGATGAAATTAACGATGCAATCCTTTATTTCTTCTTGAATTATAGAATTTTGACCAGATTTCAGTACATAATTATCACAACAGAGAGGAGCTCTGGTATGATCATTTTGCTCAGTTTATTTTAGGTAATGCAGTCTGAAGAACTGTGCAGACAATCCTGCCAGAGGAAGCGATAGAACCTACGAGAAGGAATCAATAATATAATAATAATACATGACAATTCGTGGAATAGAATCTTATCATGCATAGAAAAAGTTTTCGCTACAAAATAAACAAGGAATTTATGGGATAACATTCTTCCCCAGAAACTGTAACAGTCTGCCGTTAGAGTTCTGAAGGAAAATCAGAAATGATAGCTACTAAAATTATTTGAAGAACCTATTTTTATCTAGTCCAATCAGAATATAATTGAACGTGAGATTAAATCTTACGAAGATCAAAACAACACAGCAGAAATCGTTATTTTTATTGTTACTTTCACATTCCAATTCATCTTAACCAGGCATTTAGAATATAATATCCGTATGAACAATAATTATTTAATGGCAGAAAAAACCACATTTTTTTCGGTTAATTACAAATTTCTTGAATTATATTAGATAATTTTAATGAAAAATAAGTCAAGGTTTCAAGTAAAAAAAAAGGATAATTTATTTCTTATTTACAAGTTAATCTGAAAACGATGAGAGGAAATATGTGTGTAATCGTTCGAAAGGTTTCTTATAATTGATTTTTAGTTCCACATCGCTGCCTAATAGCTGTCAATCAAAGTGAAGTACTCAATATAAATATACATACATATATATATATATATATATATATATATATATATATATATATATATATATATATATATATATATATATATATATATATATATATATATATATATATATATATATATATATATATATATATATATATATATATATATATATATATATATATATATATATATATATATATATATATATATATATATATATATATATATATATATATATATATATATATATATATATATACTAGCTGTCCTGGCGAACTTTGTTCCACCTAAGAGGCAATAAATGAGCAGACTTTCGAGTTTATCAAGGTCAATTTTTTATTTGGATAATTAATGTTAATTAAGAAAGCAACTATTTTAATGATTCTTTATTGGCCATATATTTAAGTGCATGGGTTCCACTCTTTAGTGAAGCACTTTGTGATAGACGACATTTTTCAATTTATTGGTGCAAGAACAAATAACGCAGATGGTCTTGCGACCCGTGTACATGCCACATATAATCGTAATTGACCATGGGAAACACATGGATTTTCTAGATTCAGACCACAAACTTTTAAGCATTGACCGTGTGATTTGTTTAATGTCATGGCGAATGCCAGTCGGATCGGAAATTGGAGTCGTTTAAACTCAAACGGCATGTCGGTTGGTATCATCGGGATCCTTGGAATGAGAACTTCCTCACCTTCGACTTTTGCTTTAAGTATTGTCAACCGAAATGTTAGATCTCCCACTAACAGTGGCTAAAGCTACTGACATGAGGAATGTCCAGTTCCACCAGGGGCATCCAGGAAATATAAACCACCATTTTCATCATCAATACCATTTTGCCTTCATCAATGTATCATAAACTTCCTTTTGTTCGTGATTCAACAGGGGTACATTCATTTGAACTATTAAATCTAATTCCTGGTGATCATATTCAAGTCAACGGGAGAGTTCCCGTTCAAATTCTTGATTAAATGCGTCATTCATTTCACGATTTGTCTTCTTTCATTCCTAACCAGACTAATAAATTACAGAATATGAGGTAACACATGTGTTCCATCAAATTCAAAGTCCGATTATGTATCTCCTCATTCATCAAGGTCGGGATTTCTTGTACTGACACGAATTTGGTGTAAAATTCCTTCCGACATAATTATCCTTGCTGTGGTATATCCGTTTTGTTATACGTTTTATGTCACGTTCGACGGGAACGTGATAAAAAGTATCCTATGTCCTTCTCTTGGTTCTAAGCTACCTTCTATTCAATTTTCAGTTCAGTCTATCAAATCAGTTCAGCTGTTCTTGAGTTACAAATAGTGTGACTAGCACAACTTTCTTTTATATATGTATATATAAATATATATATATACATATATATATATATATATATATATATATATATATATATATATATATATATATATATATATATATATATATATATATATATATATATGTATAAAAGTTTAATTTGTATCGGCGGACGATTCAAACCCGGGTCGCTCACGTGGTAGGCGAGCATTCTACCACTGCACCACCGAGGCTTGCAAATTTTAGCTAAAAAAGCCCAGATATAAGCAATATTTGATAGTGATTGATGTTTCATGTCAAGTGATACGTGAACGCTGTCGAACAGAATAAACAGTATCCTATGTCCGTCTTCTGGCCCTAAGCTACCTCCTCACCAATTTTCAGCCAAATCGGTACAGCCTTTCTTGAGTTATAAGTAGTGTAACTAACACGACTTTCTTTTATATATATATATATAATAATATATAATATATATATATATATATATATATATATATATATATATATATATATATATATATATATATATATATATATATATATATATATATATATATATATATATATATATATATATATATATATATATATATATATATATATATATATATATATATTTCAAAATTAAATTATTTCCTGTTTGAGTTATATTTTCAATATTTTTAGCAATAACAGGCTATTTTTTATATTGAAAGCTTTATTTTTGTTGACAATCCGTTGTTTACATTTTTCAAAACTAATAGGTACTTGAATTTTATGAATTACCATACATAAAACGTCAAACTTATTTTTTTTGAAAAAATCAAATTGACTTTGTTGTCTCTTTAGTATTCAGAGAAATATTGCTGGCTTAGCATTAGCTTCATTAAATTTTGATTACAACAACACAACGATTTTAGAAACTGAGAAAGACCAAAAATGTAGAGAAATTTTAGAAATGTTACACATTCGTCAAAATTTGGAAAACACAGTAAATGAAAGAACAGATAACATCTTAATACTATTTACAACTATATGATAAACCTTACAAATAACACTCAAAAAATGAACTCATTCTTTTCTGATCTACCGTCAATTTCACACACATAAACCCATAAAATGAAGCAAGCATTTAACATTAAAAATAGCCAGTTATTGCTACAAATATTAAAAAAAAAAAGAATATATATATATATATATATATATATATATATATATATATATATATATATATATATTATATATATATATATATATATATATATATATATATATATATATATATATATATATTTATATATATATATATATATATATATATATATATATATATATATATATATATATATATATATATATATTTATATATATATATATATATATATATATATATATATATATATATATATATATATATATATATATATATATATATATATATATATATATATATATATATATATATATATATATATATATATATATATATATATATATATATATATATATATATATATATATATATTAGGCCGCACTTGGAAGTAATTGTCGATGTTTCGAGCCTCTTGACACTCATTGGATCGGCATAATGAGGCGACCTTCAAGATCTCCTGATTTCAATCTCGTAGATTTCTATATCTGGGGTCATTCAAAATCACAAGCGTACTCTTCTCAAATAAACACGCGGAATCAACTCTTTCAAGAATACAAGAAGCTGGCTTGGAAATGAAAAATAATCCCAAATCCCAATCGAAATATTTTACAGCAAGCAAGGAAAAATAAAAACTGAAATACAGGATATTTTGAGCAGTTTTTATAGTTTTTACCTTTTCAATTTGGTATGTTAGGTGTAATAAATTCCTGTAGTGTGTATTCATTCCTGTGGTGTGTAGTTTTGATTCAGTATGATTTTTAATTAGTATTTCATTGGATCGTGGTAATTTGAATTAAATTATTTCTCTCATCGAAATAATAAAATAATGTTTTATTCTTATAAAGTTTTAGCTCATTGTTTTGACACTTTCTTTTAATTTGCATTCGAACTTGCAAAACAGTTAAGATTCACATACTTGCTTTTCTCTAAGAAGTCCAAAGCAACCATGTGTAATATTTCAACAACAGCATGACACTCGTAATAGGCAGTTTATACATCTTTCTTCGATAGAGGGAGCTCATGTGATTAGTTCACGAACTAACGTTCTCCTCATTCGGATATAGGGCCTCGGGGAGTTTTGAAAGTCATCGAGTCTTGAATTGATTGATCAAATAAGACTGATGATTCATAATAATGATGAAACAATCGTATGTTATTATCATACGGCAAGTTCGATGGTTTTTCGAAGTGCACTTATTATTTACCCTCGAAAGTGAAAGGCTCGTTCTCGTTTACAATACTTGTGTAGATACCTCCCTGATAGTTTTATTTGAAATATTTCGATTAAGAGTCTCAGTATTGACTAAGTATGAAAGATTCGTCAATCTCGAAACTATATATATATATATATATATATATATATATATATATATATATATATATATATATATATATATATATATATATATATATATATATATATATATATATATATATATATATATATATATATATATATATATATATATATATATATATATATATATGTTGATGGTTAGGTTTTCACGGAGAAAATGATATGCTTCTGGAGATTTTCGGGTTTGCTTCCGTGTGTTGTTTCGTTGGAAATCTTTGTTAAGGCGACGTTTCGACAAAGTCTCATTTGTCATTATCTAGCCGGTCGTTTGTCTACAAAAGTCTGAGTTCACGATTTGTAGACAAACGACCGGCTAGATAATGACAAATGAGACTTTGTCGAAACGTCGCCTTAACAAAGATTTCCAACGAAGCAACACACGGAAGCAAACCCGAAAATCTCCAGAAGCATATATATATATATATATATATATATATATATATATATATATATATATATATATATATATATATATATATATATATATATAATATTATAATTTCATAATAAAATAATGTCATGGATGAAAGATTGCTGAAAGTAAGTAAAGTGTGTTCCATGTGGACCTCAAGGTAAACCAATTCACTGCAATCGGAAAAAGTATAAAGCTTTTCTCAAACTATATATGGCATTGATTGGATAATTAACAAAGTGTACACAACATTATGAAATATTTAGTGATTTTTCTGTGCCTGACTGTTTACTGTTTCTGTCAAAAACAAGAAATGGTTTTCATGCCTGCTATGCCAATTGGTTTAATGAGCAGTCGTAATAATTTATGCAAACAACATTCCGATATATTCCACAACAATATGAAGAATCTATCTCTTTGGGCATACGAAAGTAAGTGTTGTTTACATTAATAGTATTTTCATGACAACTACGCACACACACACATATACAAATATATATATATATATATATATATATATATATATATATATATATATATATAATAATAATAATAATAATAAATATATATATATATATATATATATATATATATATATATATATATTTTTTGCCTGTTGATTAACTTTTTTCAATAATAACAGGTTAATTATTTGAAAAAACTTAATTTTATTCGACGTTTCCTTGTTAATTACAACTTAATCAAAACTAATGAATAGTTATTGAATCAAATCATCTTGTTTCAATACTGAACAGTCAAAACAGCCAAGTTGATTAAAAAATAACAATTGACGTTTGAATCCATAGTCATTCATAAAATTCAATCATTCATTAATTTTGACAACGTTGTAATGACGAAATGTCGACGAAAATAATGTTTTTTCAAATAATAAGCCTGTGATTGCCGATAAAATTGAAAAAAAAATACATATATATATATATATATATATATATATATATATATATATATAGGTTTATTTTTTTCACTAGGTTAATGTCATCAAATAACTTTCACAATTAATAACTATCTTCAATAATACAAAAACTTTTATTTACGTCATATATATGTATATATGTCAAGTATGTCAGCGTTTTTAGACCATTGTTGTAGGTGCAAAATAATCTATGCAATATGTTATTTTTACGGCTCTATTTTAAATTCTTTGTATTTATTAATATATATATATATATATATATATATATATATATATATATATATATATATATATACAGACAGTTTAAAACTACCCTATAATAGGTGAGCACATATTACAATAATACAAATGTTAATTACCTATAAACTAAGTTCTATCTAATATGTATAATGTATATAATAAATAAATTTTTATACATCTCATCGAAATCAAGTTTTTGATTCATTGACTTAAATCTTTTAATCTACAAACATAATACCTAATTCTGATAAAAAAAGAATAGATTAAAACATCATGGAAGTCAATCAAACATTGACCTGGCAATGTCAAATTGGAAGAGATAGGATTTTTACTTCTAGAGAGAAGAATATGATGGCATTTGTTCAAGTTTAGCTGCAACTTATTGAGACTGCAATAGTCAGAGACTGCATTAACATTGGGATGTAAAAGAGAACAATCGTTGAAGGATTTTATCAGCTTCGATATTTTGAGATCATATATGTATGATCACATATGTGAGAGATCATATATATATATATATATATATATATATATATATATATATATATATATATATATATATATATATATATATATATATATATATATATATATATATGATCGATATGATATATTAAATATATATAATAATAATATTTATATAAGATTCTCGTAATACAATTATATAGGAAAAACAATAACAACTATTCTAATTTTAAGATCTATCTTGTCAATTATGTTGTCTAAACAGAGATAATACATTTTCTCACAAAGACCGTAGCCTATGGTGAGTGATATATATAAATGAATATATTATTTTTCTAATATTTTCAGTAATAATTGTTTTTTTCAATAGAAAAATCGTCATTTCAGTTGACGTTTCGTTGCGAATCGACTGAAATAAAGATTTTCTCATCAAAAAAGCCTGGAATAATTTGAATAAAACTCTCAGCTTAATATTTCACAAATATTTTGAATAATAAAACAATAAAATTATAACGTTGAGTCGACATGTTTGGAGCGATCTGCTCATTATCAAGACTAACTACAAAAACCACGTTATAATTTCATTGTATTCAACATATTTGTCAAGCATTAACCCCAGCCTTTCATTGAAATAAGTAAATCATGTTTATCCAAGAGGTAAGCGAGAATGCAATCTCTGTTATTGAAAAAGAT